CTCACAGTCAAGTTTGTACCACTAACTCCACCACCGGATGGGAAGATTCAGGCTACTCTCATGGCACATCAGACAAACCCGAACATGGGTTACTTGGGGAGGAACCAGTAGTACAAACGTGAGCCACAGTCTCAGAAGAGCGGATCGATAGGGACATGGGCGCGCAAGTGTTGCCAACTTATTCGATGCTTTGGCCGGCAGTGGGACCCAGGTGTCGCCAGGGTTAGAGATAATGAATCAAAAGCCCCGAAGAATGAGATTGAAGCTTTCCCAATCCCGGGAGACTGATGCGAGTGAGAGAGTTTCCCTCACAGATGCGAAAAATAAGTCAGTCGGTTGAACCAACTGGCATAGGCGAGCCAATACAGACACTGCTTGAGACGACCGATTCAGAATACAGCAGGACCCAAGCGGGCTTTACTTCCTTTCCTGCCTCCACTCGATCGAGCGACACATTAGGAAAGGTGGCACTTTCGTCGGCCCTCCCTCTATCCTTCTTTTCTTTGTTTTATTTGAGATTCTTTATATTATTGATTTATTGCATTAGGATTAGTTTTCTTGTGTGTGTTTTCAGATTCCTTTGTGGAGTTGTTCTCCCGGTTCTATGGTTGTATCTGAAGAGGTGGTTGTGCTTTGAATGTATCCTACTTTGAGGGAGTGACGCATCCTCCATACCTCTTCTCCTTCCCTTCCAATAGTCGTCAGCCATTACTCTACCATCCATGCTAAACTGCCACACCTTGTCCACCACTGTCTTGTTGTCCAACCTTTGCAATCCGCCTTCCACCAACCTATTCCCCTCCAACCTGCTACTGTCCTTCCTGTCCAGGCCTCCCAATCGCCCCTTGCAGCCTGTCGGACCTCCATTCAGTAGTTCCCCCTACCGCCCCACGCTCCCAAACCTGCAAATCAGCCACCAACCGCCCTTCCCACATATCTGATAGCCCTCCACCCTTCCCATTTTCCTTTGTTGCTTCGTCAATGCCACCATCACTCCCGGATCTTTTCTTCAGTCCTAGCCGGAGAGTTGGTTTGTTGTTATCGTTCCCCTTTCCATTTGTGTCATATTGTAACCCTCTTTCAATATTAATAAAAGTTTTTTTTGTTTCCGCTGATTCTCTAACTAGTTTCGGTATCACCACCATTACTATGAAATTTTGGCTTTCATGCCAAATCTTTAGGTGGTGGATTTTCAAATCTAGAATTGAATGGAGTTTATGTGACCCCTCAAGATAGCCTCCTCTTAAAGGTGGCAAGCCTCTGTTGCAGTTGAAGGGTTTCATGTCTTATATTTTTCAAAAAAAAGTTCTTCAACAACTCTTCATGAATTTCTCATAAACAATATTATATCATTTCCTTACGATCAAGTCTCCAATAATTGTCTCTAAGGTGGCGTGACTAGGTTTTACGTTTGGGAGATGAAAGAGATTGCACGAGGTGGATTTAGGATGGAAAAGAAAAATTTTTGGGAGCTGATTTGGAGAATCGACAAAGGGAAAAAATTTTTAGTAGAGAAGGGGTCAGGGTCAAGTACGGGTAAAAGCTAGAAATCCTAAGATAGGATTAGAGTTATGCTAGTTTTGATATCAAATGATACAGGAATTAATCCAAACCACAATAATAAAACAAATATTATTACTGAAAAAGATAATAGGCCATTATAATCACACACGAAAATGGGAAATAATAACAACACGACTAACCACGCAACTAGGGTTGGCTCCAGGGCGGTTGGTGAGGGTTTCGAAGGTTGGGGATGATGAACGATGTGGTCGGAAAGCAGAAAACTGCTTCGTACGGTTTCCGGGATTCCGGACAGAAGGCATGCAACAAAAATCGATGAGAATCAGCTGTCTTAAATGAAGGCAACAAGATGGAAGGGTGTGGGCGCAAGTTCTAGAGGTTGCAGTACGTGGGAAGGTAAGAAGCGAAGGCCGAGAAAGGCAGGGTCAGCAGTAAGTTTGCGAAGGAGGGGCTACCCTGGTAGCTGGACAACTCCAAGGCTGCAGAGAGGAGGGTCCTAGACGGCTGGAACAACAACAAAATAACCGGGAACGACTGTTTGGTGCAGTGTCAGTGAGAGGGAATGACGGCGACAGCGAAAGGAGATGTGGGAGACTGCGGGACACGAGAACAGTAATTTGAGGCGACGAGGCGGCGGAAATTGGAAAACTTCAATGAAAACAGCAACAAGTAGTTGTTCAGTGGCGAGTATAGCAATAAAGGGTGGCCAAGAGCGACGTGGGGAGAATGCGGAAGGAGATAGGGAAGATAACCACCACCTAGGAAGAGAGAGATACAATCGGAGCACTACCCAAACCCTATGAGAAATCCCTCAGAGGGAGAAAATGAACGTCGGCAACTATCCTAAATAAATTCACTCTAAAAACTGACTTTCAAACCCAAATACGACACATATCTTGAAAAGGACTAAAAATAAATGAAGGATAATAAGAAAAAAGCATAACAAATAAAAACAGGACTATTTCAACCCATCTCCAGCAATTCCACGATACACGAGATCCACAACCGTGTAAGAAATTCAACAATGCCAATTTTTATCAATGCCAATTTTTATCAACTAAAATTACAGGGCCAATCTCCGTCCGGCCCGAGGAAACCTTTGCGCGCCTCCGTTACCTTTTGGGAGGCCTACGCCCCATAGAAACTGTCTACCTGAGACTGTCCCTTGGCCCGTAGGTTCTGACACAAGAGAGTAACGAAGAAGAAGTAGCTCGACGAAGGGCCATAGAAGTGTTAAAGCGCATTAATCAGGCTGTGAAGGTCACAGGGGCTATGAGACCCGATTCAGCGTAGGAATTAGTGCTGGAAGCCCTAGTAGTAAGCAGAAAATGAAAAGTAGCCCCAAGCTTATGAAGAAGCTCAAGATAGCCAAGATGGATGGAGTAGGGCTAGTCTAAGACAAGACAGACCGATCTCTATTCTCCTGCTCGCGTTTACAAGGTTTCCCACTCACTCTATTGAGTGAGAGCCCTTGTTGGGTTCTGCAAGGAAGCATCTCGATAGGTCCGCAACCTGTGCTGTGGTTGATGCCCCACCCGAGCTAGAATTCCAGACTTGATTTGCCGGTTATTCGTCCGAGCGGCCCCCTGAGGATGCGGGAAGCCAATGATAGGAGTGGTTAACTGGACTCGAAGGAATGAAACCTTGATGCCCTATCCGTGGCGACGCCTAAGCCGCTTTAGTAGGGACGGACTGAAATATCCCATCATAGCACTCTAAGGCTCAGCAGGGAACTCTTGAAGCTTCCAGCTTTCCACCTATATGGATTGTTTGAGCGTAAATAGACACGATCTTCGTTCGGCACGCGTCCAGTCCAAACACAGTCTTGCTCCTATAGCTCTCCTCTCTGGTTGGTCAAGGGTACACACTTCTCTTTTTTTCATTTATGTATTCCATTCCCGGTGATCCTGTCCCGCTCAACACAAATCTTTCTTTTCATTTTCTATATCCCATGGGCGTATAGACGAAAGAGAAATGAGAACTCAGTAGTTTCGAAATGAAAGAGTCCATGAAGTAGAGGAGTCAACGGCACGCACACGCAGGAAAGGCGGTCTTTCGGTTCATTGGTCTGGTCTTTCGCTTGTACGTACATCGGCTTGTTGGTGCTTGGAATAAGAACCTGCGCTAGGCGCTCAATTGTAGCTTGGTTCAGTTGTTTCGTAAGGCTTTGTTGTTGTTGTTGTTGTTGTTGTTGTCACTTCATCTTCTTGCTTTTTCTTGTGATAATTTATATATTTCATTTTTTATTACATTTAATGCATCCTACTATATAAATCCTCAAAAGCAACAATATTATTTTTCTTACTATGTTTTGCATTCTGGCTTCCATATAATTATTATATGAATAATTTGATTTTTTTTTGCTAAACTTGAGATGCATATTTCCTTTTTATATGAACTTTTTATTTCTACATCCTTAACGCAATGCCAATTCTCCTTACCAGCATAAAATTTAAGGACAATATATGGTAAAATAGTAACTTTTAAATTTTGTATTTAGTAAATCCATATTATTTTCAATTTCTTCACAATTTTATCTTAAATCCCGAATTTACTAAATCCTGCCAACACCAAAATTTAGTATATATCCGGATTTACATAATTTACTAAAGCAATTAAAGCCATTACCATGTAGTCCCTAGGTTCATAAATTTTCCTAAATGATCTTAGTGATCGCCTTCATAACCTCTCTATCAAACATGAAATCTTGTCAACTATGAAGCCAAATTTTACTCGTTTGGCAATAATTAAAATATTTAAAAATTGTCTCCTTTTATGATTATGATCACCTTAATCCAGGCATACATTTGTTTGGATTACTACATAATTCTAAATTTAAGTATCAATAACAAATAGTAATAATGTAACTAAGCATTGTCTTAGTATTACCCTTACAATCTTTACAAGAATACTCCATTACAAACATTTAATCTTAAATGTATATATCTACTGTATAGGAAACTTATTGTTTATGCATCCTTAACGCACTTCGAATTCTCCTTACCATCATATAATTTACACATAGATTTCCCAAAATTACTTTAACAATCTTGATAGTAACCCCTCTATCAAACGTGAAATCATAACAACTATCAAGTTAAATTTTACTTGTTTAACAATAGTTCAATATTGATAAATTCTCTCCTTGTATGATTTTGATCACTTTAATCTACACATTCATCTACTTAAACTATAATATAATTCTAAATTATGTATCAATAACAAATAGCAATAATATAACTAAGCATTCTTTTATGATTACCATTAAAACCTTAACAAGAATGCTCCCAAACATATCTTTAGTCTTAATTTGACAACTTCTATAAGCAGGGACAAATGGCGCTAATAAATTTTTGAACAATAGAAAAAAAAACAATAAAATATGGTTATAGAAAGACAATGCAACAAAGCAAAATAAGAGGAAAAAATTTCACTATAACCTTAAGAAAAGTCGAGCAAAGACTAACAAAACTTACAACTTGCATTACTTTCTTCTAACAAGTTGACTAGGGTGCTTGTCCTCTTGTTCTTCATTTTTGTGCTCCATCTATCAAAAACAAAATATAAAGGGAATTATCTACAAAGAAAGATTAGGAATGATGTCTTGAGAAGCTATGGCAAGCCAAATTTACCGAAGGCAAGTTGAGTGCTTTTTATGAGAATAAGCAAAGAATTAGAAGTCTTTGAAAGGAATTTTAAATTTTAGGTATATTTTCTTGATTAAATTTTTAATGTTGAACGAATTACTGTATCATACACAGCTATTAGAAATCTGGATTTTTTTCCAAATAAAAGATCAAAGCTATAAAGCTAAGTTGCAAAAATAAAAACTAGATGCCAAAAGTGGGAACATTGTATGTCTCTCTATAAAATTATATTGTATGAGATTATATTGTATATGTCGCCCTATAAAAAAACATTCCCTCGTGTCAGAATCAAGGAACACGCCACCCTCACCACACCGTGCCCCGTCCCCCATCCCCCCCAACCACAAATAAACAAATTTCAACAACTAAATTTGTTTATGTCCCCCTGAAAGGACTGAGCCAACATCATAAGATATCTTGTTTTGTAGGATGATGCTAGTAGAGAGTGTGTAGAAAATAAGCTAAGAAGTGGGTCCTTTACTTCTATAATGAGTGAAATACTATTTTTCTAAAGAGCAGAAAAAAATTGAAATGAAAAATAAGGCAGAGAATAAAAGACCAAACAATGTTTTTGAGCATGCATAAAGCTCTTATTTAAACTTGTGTGTTTCGTCTATAACCCTAGCAGGGATTCCTCATTGGCGCTTATTTTCTCGCTAGTGACTCTCCGCCGATGTTTCTCCACATTCGGTTCGATCTCTAAACTTGAGCTCAAATATTGCTACAACTTGCCTTTACAATCGGATCATATAGTAGTCTCAAACATTAGGCACTTATGGTCACTTGGCTCTATCAATTGTACTCGAACCAAGTGCCCGCCCATTGGCTTTCATTAACTTGTCCATCTCTCAAGCACTCCCTACAGTTCAGCATGCATGCTTCTCACTCGCATGCTGCTATTCTTAGCGCTCATGCCTCTACTATGGGTCGTTTTCCGTTGGACTAGGGCATGTGCCATCTCCAACCTCCATAGCTATAGTGACACCCTTCCTGCTTATATTTAAATTACCACTTATCAATTTGAATTATACTACTCAAGTCAAGTGATGTTCCTCCTTGCTTCCTCTAGCTCTGAATATTTTCTTAATATCCACTCCACCGATTGCTTCTCAAGTTATGTTGCGTTGCAATGCTTCCCTTATGGTTGTTACGTTTCTAAATTTCTACTACTGTAGAATCGCCCCTCACCTTGTGCTAACCAATCATTGTTGAGGCTAATAGAGAGAGATGAGGCTTATAATCCTCAACCTCCCCCATACATTTTCAACAAGGGCCTGTAATAGCTCATAAGTTGTCATTCTCTTTTCTAGGTAAAATAGCTCACATTTTGTTTAATAAGGAGATATTTGAGTTGGCATCTCCATTTCATTTATCCCTTATTATCAATTTTCTAAAATTATTTCAATAAGAAAATTATCCACAAATTTACAGTTGATCCCCATTTGGTTGGAGATTATGAAATTTAACTGACTGATTATTGTTATGTTTTTATCAAATAATCCAACAAAATTTGATTATACAAAGCTCTTCTCTCGAAGATCATATAATATGGATGGGTTCCTAATACGTACAATTAACTAGTTGCCTCATTTTAATTATTGCAAGGAACTTCCTTTTACACCAATTTGGATTGTTTTTCCACTTCTATGAATTCACTACTTAAACCAAACAATTATTTATTCTTTTGGCCCTATTTTTAATAAATGGTTCCACATATATGTTGCTTGAAATAGATATTACAACCTCTTAGGAGAAAGAAATTTGGATTGATTCTGCAGCTGGTGGTTGCTGGCAGAAGATACACTTTGAAGGCATTCCTCCTTGTTCACTTGGCAAAATCTTTGCCACAAATTCTTACAATGCTGAAGGTACGCTTAGAGCAACAAAAATCTTATAGAAACCATAGCAATAATGAACAAGCATCAAATAAAAATCTTTCTTCCAATATCATGCGACAGTTTCGACTACTTCTGACTGAGTTTGTATACACACCTTTAAATCTACTTTAGATCCTAACTTGGAACAGTGCCTTCTGTAGATGTTAGCACAATAGTTGACATTTGCCTCACATATACTCATAAGATTATTTATACAGGCCCATCCAGGATAATTGCTCCTAATGATCATTTTATTATTGAGGATATTAGTGATCATAACTCTGTTAGTTGGTTCTTATTTCTAGCACAAAAAAGTTATTAAACAAAAAGTGCATTGCTCCTAATGATCATGTTGGTCTAGTGAGTATATTTTGTATTTTATTTTTTATTTTCATCTAATAATGCTATTCAATTGTTGATGTTGTACTCTTGTTATAATCTGACAATAACTTCTATTTCCTTTAAGAAAATAAGTGCCACTTTATGCTACTAGCTTACTATTATATTGCAAAATATCCAAAACAACAATAAGTATTAACAAAGCATTGAAATAATCATCAAAGAACATAAAGCCAAAAACATGAAACAGTCAGAACAGAGTATGTATACCAAAAAAAAAATTCAGATAAGAAATCTTAGATGATCATTAAATTTGAAGCTATTGGAATATTTTATCCATGAAAAAATAGAGAGAAAGTTCAAAAAAACCCTTAGATTAAAAGAGGGTGACGATTTAATCTCAATGTATATAATGCATATATTTTATCCAAAATAGTCCATTAGATCGACTAATTTGGGTCACATTTGACTTTTTCCTAACAAAATTTGAAATAAAGTTATCAGGCTTCATCCATTTAATAGGATGCTCGTGACTTGTAAATTTGAGATGGTTTACTAAGCAGCAAAATACTACAACCACACAAACACAATAACATGAGTTTGTTCTTCTGGGAGTTTATGTAAATTAAAAAATGCATAAAGAAACTTTACTTTAACTAGAGTAAAGTAAAAAACGGGAATAGCTTGCCATAATAATTAAATATCCTAAGTAGAAATGTTGAGATTGATTTTTAACTCCATTACTTTGTTTTCAAAGTTTAAAATAAGTATGCATTAATAAACTTACAGTCCAACCAAAAACACCAAAAACACAATAGCCTATGAACCTACTGAAGCAGTTTTAGGGCTCCCAAAAGATGTTTAAGGAGGAGATTTAGTATAGAAGTAGTTGTAAAATAATAAGAAAATGAAAATATGTGAGGTCTACGACATTGGAAAGGGGTAAGAGGTGTTCAGCAGTTGAAACCTCCTATTGGACAGTAGGATCAAGCAATTTGACGATTGTTTGAGCTAAGAATCGAGAGTCGACAATGAAACAGCGAGGAGAATCCACCACCTATTTATAAGCAAAATAAAGGCACGACACTTGCAAAAGATAAAAGATACAACATTACTTAGAGCATAAATCAAGAATTACAATCCCCAAAATACATCAAATCAAAGCTAAAGTCCAAAAGAACGGGAAATAACAAGATATAAATAGTTCTCTCAAACCTAATTAGAAATAGAAAAAAAAAGAATTAGAAAGAAAAAAAAATTTGGTCTCTGATAGAAAACTCCATGAGATAACCCTTGCCAACTGTGATTTTATTCCATTTTTTTTAACCCAAATAGAGAATAAAGTTGGGTGTGCTTTTGTGGGACCAAATTCAATTTTTCGATCACCTATGAAGATGTCATATTTTCACAAGTATATTTGTCTATAATGAGACTTCAAACCTTTCTCTGCACAGTACGAGTATGAAAAATATTATGGTGTAGTCGTTGTTGCTCTTTCATGAGCTCAATTTGAAGAAACCATTGGATTAATAGCATCTCTCCCTCGTCAACTGGAAACTGATATTCCTTCTTTGCGTCATCAATTTCTTATGTATCTTATGTTTCATTGTCTATATTTTTCACTATTTCTTGCTCAGGAAATGAGATCAGTCTTCTATTTGGGCAATCCGATAAATGTGCCCACAATCATAGCGTTTGAAGCACTTCTTGATTGGGCTAGATTTGTCAGTACTAGAATACTTATTTTCCTCCATTAAACTAATTTTTTCTCGAGTGGGCTCAGCTTGAATGCTCCACTAGTTGTACAATTACTATGTCTGTAAGATGTAGCTGTCACTGGTGATGTTACTATTTCCCACCTTAAAAAGTAGGGTTTTTACATTAAGTAGGGACTAATACGACTACAGCTCCACCATTTTATTGATAGCTAGCTTCAATCCTCCAAACTAACTTATTACTGTGAGCTTCTCTAATTCCACCAACTCATATTTTAGCATGAGTTGATCAAATTCAATTGTGTACTCAACAGAAGAGTTTCTCTGACGAAGATTATAAAGTTTTACGAACATGTCTCGTCAGTAATACGAGAGAAGATATTTGCACTACATCTCTGTTTTTACCTTGGACCTGGTAATGATTTTACTTTTTGCCTCATGCTCGTGTAAGCGTTTCAAATTCTCCCACCAAAAGAAAGTGTTCTTCCAAAGTTTGATAGCCAGCAATTTAACTCTCTTATCTTGGGTGATATCTTTGTAATCAAAAAATAATTCCACTATTTAGAGTCACTTGACGAACTCATTTGAATCTATGCGACAGTCAAAATTCGATTTACTCTAAAGTCTTAGTTTCTCCTCTTATTTTTCATATCAAATCGGCATGGCATCAGCTCTTCATCACTCAAAGCTTCTTGGGGAAGGGATTCACTTCCTCCTCTCGATCCGACCAGTCATTATTGTGGCTATGGATGACCTCTCTAGATTTTCTAATCTCAAAAATACAAGTCTTTGTTACAGTTGAAGAATTTCTCGTTGCATATCCTCCATAGTAAATTTCTAGAGGCCTCTTTGAGTGTTTCTCATAGGCGGCATTTTGCCATTTTTCTCCTGATCAGGGTTTCAACGAATGTAGATTACAAATCAAAGTTAGACGATGGCTTAGGGCCTTATTTGAAACAATTTTTTGTT